GATAAGCATTATGAGCATTATGTTCATTTGTGTTTTTCTAAAGTTCCAGATCAAGCAGATAATCTTACCTGCATATGAGGTGGCAGGTGAAAATAACTTCGAGGGGCATCTAAATCTAATTCCAATTTCTTTCCCACTGTGTTCAATTAAATGCCCAATTAATTTAAATGGATAGACTGTAAATAAAGCAATGCACATGATTATCATCTAATTAGCACTGGCCAGCATTATAATGTACTCATTAGTGAGTTGTATGGTGTCCTAAGGCTCATAATGAGTAATCAGGGCACATGTGAGTGGCATGTCACTCTCTGGGTATAACTACTCAACCCCATAAATCAGGACAAAATGTGCCACATGGCAAGAGAGAATAATACACAACCAGCTGATGAATTGGCAATTTACTCCTTCCTATACTACAGGCACTGCTCCTACCCTCGCACACAGAAACATAAATGTGAGAACAACAGACTGGCTGGTTATAGAAAGGGAAAATATTCACCCAAGGTGACACAGAATAAACACCTGCAATTCTTATGAAGGAAGACAAAAGAAGAAAGCTTTGTGTTATAAGTGTATAGCTTTCTAGTACATCAAGTGTAGAAACAAAGTAATAGATGAGTAATGTTTTAATAAAATTTCTTGAAGCTTGAAATTTTAAATAAGCATGTAAACATGCCTATGAAGCACTTTCAATCCTTAAATGCAGTATGTTGTGAAATCATTTAGCAGACAGTAAGGAGAGAAATGCAGCTATAAGTTGCATTCATCATTATATATACGAGAAATCATTCTAGTAGGTTTTGTTAGTTGGTTTGCTTGACACCCAATCCAATATCCTTTTCTTTTTTTCTGTTCAGCACCTAGAAAGTAAAGTATTTTCCTACCCAGACTCCCTTGCAGCTAGAGGAGCCTGTCTGGCTCCTGAAATATAGGCACCTGGCTCCATGTAGACCATGTCTTCCTGAATAAAGTTTAGTAGAAGAACACCTGCCTACTTTCTCCCTTGCTTCTTTCCCTGGATATCACAGCCATGCTGTGATCATCTGCACAAAAGCCACACCTTGGATTGGCAGGGGAGAAGATAGCCTGGTCTTCATTCTGAACATCTGTCAGCTGTCACTTTAGCCTTGGCTACCTACTTCTAGCCTCTTATTACAGAGAAAAAGACTTCTCTCACTTATATAAGCCATTGAAATAGGGTTTCAGTGTTTTGTTTTGTTTTTGTAATTGTTAATTATGGATGAGCACAAGGCCAGCGCTGTGGTACAGCGGGTTATCACCCTGGCCTGAAGCTCTGGCATCTCATATGGGCGCCAGTTCGAGAACTGGCTGTTCCACTTCCAATCCAGCTCTCTGCTATGGCCTGGGAAAGTAGTAAAGATAGACCAAGTCCTTGGGCCCCTGCACCCACGTGGGAGACTCAGAAGAAGGTCCTGGCTCCTGGCTTCGAATGGGCACAGCTCTGGCTGTTGCAGCCTATTGAGGAGTGAACCAGCAGATGGAAGACCTCCCTCTCTCCCCCTCCCTCTCCCTCTCCCCCTCCCTCTCCCTCTCCCCCTCCCTCTCCCTCTTCCTCCCTCTCCCCCTTCCTCCCTCTCCCCCTCTCCCTCCCCCCTCCCCCTCCTCCTCTCCCTCTCCCTCTCCCTCTCCCTCTCCCTCTTCCTCTCCTCTCTCTGTGTAACTCTGACTTTCAAATAAATAAATAAATCTTTAAAAAAATTATGGATGAACACAGTCTTAGTAGATTCTCTTGGATTCTTATTCATAAAAATGAATACAAACATACAAACAAAATAGTGCTATGTTTAAGTACTGGCGTGTGCTCAAATGACCTTCAAAAATGACTTTTTCAATCTAGAGACTTCCAAAAATATATTTTTAAAAAAGATTTACTTATTTGAAAGCCAGATTTTAGAGAGAGAGAGAGAGATTCCATCCACTGGTTCACTTTCCAAATAGCTGCAGTGGCTGGAGCTGGTCTAGTCTGAAGGCAGGAACCAGAAGCCTCTTCCGAGTCTGCCACGTGGGTGCAGGGGCCCAAGGACTTGGGCCATATTTTGCTGCTTTGCCAGGCGCATTAGCAGGGACTTGGATCAGAAGTGGAGCAGCCAGGACACAAACTGACAACCATATGGGATGCCAGCATTGCAGACAGAAGCTACAACACAACGTAGTCCCCAAAAAATACTTATTTAAGGAAGTAATTCATCTGTCTTTTTTCAAATATCACTGCACTGGAAAGAGAATGGCAGTCCTTGTAACTCGTGCTAGTGATTTTCTAGGTACATTCCTTCAACACCCCTGATTTTGAATGAAGGAAACTGTTACTTTGGAACCTGGTGTTTTATGGTGTTTATGATTTTGCTTTCTGATCCTCTCATAAGACAAACTGTGGTGAGACTGGGAAGCATCTGGATTCTATTCCCAGTATGTTACCAGAATTGAAATGAAAGTGGCTCAGAAGAGGATGACTCTGAAATGGGATGGGTTAGCAAAGAGAGAATACCGTCTCCAGATCATTTATAGCTAGAAGTCAATTTTCTTCCTAGCATACAGGCCAGAGGTACCCCCTGGAATCCACCCAGAGCTTCAGCAGATGAGGTAAGAACCAATGGGATCTCCCCCAAGAAGAGCCCATACTGAACACAGCCTTGCATCTCTAGCACCTAAAAGCACTTAGGAAATGTTTGTCAGGTTGGTGGGTAGTAGAGTTAGAGAAAAAAAGAAAAGCCCTGTGGGGAGCGGAGTGGACTTGAAAAGCTTTTTGGAACTCCATCTCTGATTTTCCATTTATCGTGGCCGTCCTCAAAAACCTTGGCATCATATAATTTGATGTTAGAGGTGTGCCACATTCAAGAAGCACATTTCAACAGCCATGAAGCATTAGAAAGTAAAGATTGTCTTTATGTCATTGAGAGACCCATAATTAACCTACAATTAGTTATTTCAATGTTGTAGTCACTTCCGTACACAGCACCACTGCTAGACACATCCAACACTGCCTGCCACACAGCAAAACCCCTCCTCCTCCTCACTGGGCCTGTTAGCATCCGTATCTGCTCAGTGTCTCTTTCAGCAAGAACGTCCTCTTTAGGATGTTGAAGAAGAGGAAATGGAGTTGGTAATTTTGATAGGTAAACAGGAAGCCTATGGATACTCTCATGCTAATAATGTTTTCCCATAACACCAGTTAATTATGTCTTCAGGTATCTCTTTTCACAGCTATAAAATTCAAATTCTAATTAGAAGCTAATACTTTGAGTACTGAAATGTTTTCTATAGATCCAAAATTGTTTTGAAAAGTAGCACATTTCAACATGGAGTACTTTTTAGAATTTATAGTCTTACTCATTGCACATAAGGAAAATTAAAGCAATATCTAGAGAACACATTTTCCAGGGTCTTCCTTCTCAACTTTTGCTCCTCTTTATAGAAAAATAAGCAAGTAATACCTCTGGAAGTCTGACACAAAGCAGTAATTCACAAAGAGCAAACAAAAGAGAGCAATTGGGTGGAAAGTGAGAACATATTAAATTTGGTTTACTGAGACCTTCAGACTTGCAGGATGTTCTAGCTGGAGTGAACTTTCCATTCTCTGCTCCGACTAAGCCTTTCAGTTCAAAGCCCATACACAGAGGTCACTGACATCAAATGGCCCTGCAGAGTCACGGTGGAGAGCCGGACTAGGAGGTAGGTCTGATGACTCCAGGGTCAGGCTGCATTCCAGAGGCAAATTTCAGCAGCCGTAAACTGCTAAGCTCCATGAAGTCTTTTGTATCTGTCTGTATTTGTGGGCATCTGTCTCCTGCATTCTGAGACCCTTTAGGAACTGCAAGTGGCCTGTGGTAGACCCTCTTGGTGGGCTTGGGTGGGCAGGACATCAACATTCCAGAACTAAGAGAATAAGACAATAACATGATCGGAAGCTCAGATGGCAACATTGACATTTCATTTGCCAAATCAATACAGTCTTCAGAGAGAAACAGCAAGGGCTCTACCATTTCTTTCATTCAAAAAATTGTGAAAACACAGACTTTGGGATGATCACAGAGGAAAAGAGCTCAAGGATGTTTTGATGCAGAATTACTGAGCTTAAAGGTGAGGGCAAGGGGCCAGTGCTGTGGCATAGAGGGTAAAGCTGCCACCTGCAGTGCCAGTATCCCATATGGGTGCTGGTTTAGGTACCGGCTGCTCCACTTCTGATCCAGCCCCCTGCTAATGTGCCTGGGAAAGCAGTGGAAGATGGTCCAAGTCCTTGAACCCCTGCACCCATGTAGGAGACCTAGAAGGAGCTCGTGGCTCCTGGCTTTGTATTGGCCTTGAGGCCATTTGGGGAGTGAACCAGCAGATGGAAGACCTCTCTCTCTCTCTCTCTCTCTCTCTCTCTCTCTCTCTGCCTCTGCCTCTTTGTAAGTCTGCCTTTCAAACAAATAAATAAATCTTAAAAAAGATGAGGGCAATATGTGTGAAGCAGTGATGGGAGAATGACACGCCCATGTGCCCACTTTTAGAAAACTCCTTCCACTAAGGGCCAGTTGCAAGGGCGCAAATGACAGTCTGGGTAATACTGTTCATGAGACAACATCTGAATCCAGGAAAAAGTCAATTCTTTAAGCAGAAGTTAAGCGAGATGAGATTGCCTTGACTGACATGCAGGGGTGGAGAGAGCCGTGGTGTGTAGCAGGGGAGGCCTTCATCTTCCTTAGCTGTGCATCCAGGCACACGTGCAGTCTGCTCCTCCTGCAGAGCACCCAGACCATCGGGAAACCCGTCAGCTGCCACATGGGCCTGCACTGGCAATGGGCTGCAGTGCTGCCAGAGCCAATGCTCTTCCTTGCAGTCCCTGCTCTGAGCCACCCCCGCCCACACACACACCCATACACACGCCACCCCATCTACCCACCATCCCCGGCTCAGCAGCATCATAGCTGTTGCCTTGCACCCATTACCTTTCCCTTTCCTGCCAGCACACAAGAAGTTTTCGAAAAGTTCATGAACCCTCTTAGAAAGGGCATGTCTGTGCTTCCCTGTCTTTGGACGTGTAAGAATTGGAGGGAAAGAAATGTGGACTTGGGGCAGTTCCTGGGCCAGCTTGTTCCTCCCAGGCTCAAGATCAACCATCCCACATAGAAGAAGGGGAAAAAGGTCATGAAAAGCACCTGTTATGGGAAAACCATGCATGGATTTCAAAAACGCACCAACATAAACTTATCTTTTATTTCTCCATGAACTTTTTGAAGTACCCTCTTATGATTCTTAGGTCACAGATTTTCAGAGATCCATGGCAAAATGTTAAAGAAAAGATTCTAAGAAATTTAAAAATGTAATACAGAAGACAATTAATTGGTCTTAGACTAACCCTTATATCCTCAATCTTTGAATTTTCTCCCTTCTTTAGAGCAATCACTTCTGTGCTGTAAAATGAAATGAGATGTGATTTTTTTCTGCGTCATTACTTTGATCTCCATCAAAGGCTAGCAAAGACAGTAATTAGTACTCCACACCAAAGCAGCCTCAGATTTGACACAAAACTGCTTGTCCTTTGCAGAGCTGAAAATGAAGCACTTCTGATTCTTAGAATTTTCTCATGAGTTGTTGTCATGTGGCAGAAATTTCTGGTTTGTTGCTGCTTTTTTTTTTTTTTTTTTCATTTGGGAGGATTGCTTCTTATGGACCTTTTCTACTGCAAGCATGGTTTAACAAGGAAAACAAAATTAGGACTTTAAAAGCTGTGGCATCGTAGGCTAAGCCTGTGCCTGTAGCACTGGCATCCCACAAGGGCGTCAGCTCGTGTTCCGGCTGCTCCTCTTCCGATCCAGCTCTCTGCCTTTGGCCTGGGAAAGCAGTAGAAGATGGCCCAAGTCCTTGTGTCCCTGCCCCCACGTGGGAGACCCGAAAGAAGTTTCATTGCAGCCATTTGGGGAGTGAACCAGCAGATGGAAGACCTTTCTCTCTGTCTTTCCCTCTCTGTCGGTAACTCTCTCTCTCAAACAAATAAAATAAAATATTTTTAAAAAATCAGCAAGGTTGCACCACACCTACATGAACTCACCATCTGAAAGCACTAAAGGTAAGCAGAGGAGAAAAAGCTAAGAAGGCCACCCAGTTTCATGGCAACAGGGAGATCCACGTGTTTATCCAGAGAGCTCTTTGCATGTTCCAGCGTGGCCGGGACAGACCAGCCATGACAGCAAAATCCTCAGGAGCATCTGCACACTAGAATTGTTGGTTTTGAACATTTTCTGAATATCCGCAGAAATACTGGTGCAGGCTCATGTGTACGCTAGACTCAGAGAAGCCGGAAAACTTGGTCAAAAAGTCATCCAGTCCCCCAGCCTGTGGTTGTGAGTATTGAATAAAACACTGCCTGGTTTTGTGGCCCTTAGGTTTCTAGGTCATGGTGCAGAGGAGGAGAATGCAGACACCCTGATATGAGACAACAGAGCTGAGAGTCCAAGGAGAGCAAGGCAGTTAGAGCTCACAGGAGAGTGAGAGGAAGGACCTGCAAGGACAGAATCCTACATCTGCAGGGGTCCCTCAGGAAAACACAGCAGAATCTATTAACTTAGAGCAGTTAGCAGTAATCCATGTCGTCCTGCAAGAATGTGGTATAGGTGACAATACAAAATAGCCTTTATTTTCAAGGAAAAGTACTGTGGGACTCGTGCTGTCCAACTTAGTAGCCACTAGGCACATATGACTACTTAAATTTAAAAAAAAAGTAAGTGAAGTTTTAACATGCAGTTCCTTGGCTGCATTTCAAGAGTTCAGTAGCCACATGTGGTTGGTGGCTGCCATATTACAGCACAGATGTGAAACATCTCCATGGGGCAGGAATTTGGCCCAGTGATTAAGATGCTAGTTGGGATACACACATCTCATATCAGAGTGCTGTGGTTCAAGTCCCAGCTCCATTTCTGATTCCAGCTTCCTGCTAGTGCACACCCTGATAGGCAGCAGTTGGTGGCTCAACTACTTGGGTATCTGCCACCCACATGGGTGAGCCAGATTGAGTTTCAGGCTCCCAGCTTTATCCTAGCCCAGCCCTGATTGTTGTGGGCATTTAGGGAGTGAATTAGTGGATGGCAGATCTCTGTTGGATCCTGGTGTTTTCTCTGCCATTCAGCTAAGTAAGTATAAATAAATAAAAAAGCATCCCCACCATTATAAAAAGTTGAGTTGAAGAGTACTGGAATATATAAAGTCAATGTATGAATCATTCTTTTTAAACCAACTCTTTGACTTCCTCTTTTATAAAGACTTTTTGTATGTGAGTGTACATACCAATTTGATCTCAAATGTATTTATGGATTTTGAATATATAAATAAGCATTTAGAGATACAAATTTTAACTTCAAAGACACCTTATAACATTTCTTTAATTGCCCTACTGTTACAGTGAAATAGGGAGAGAAGTCACAAATTGAATCTCCTACAGGAAACGTCCAATCAGTGGGCTGTCAGAGACTCAGCAGTATGCTTGATTGCTAGTTTCAGCAATAATAAATTCTTTGCATTTCTTTTCAAAAGTGTGTATGATTGGATAGTTTCTCAAGTTACTTGCCTAGCTGTTCTCATCCTGAAAGCTCGTCACACTGACATTTTTCTCCTGGATATGTAAGATGTGTGGACATTTTGAATATATGGATATGGTAACAGTAAGTCAAATGAGCACAATTCCACTTCTGACAGATAAATTGGAAGCAGAACAGTCTTTTCCATCATTATTAAAGGCAGGCATTTTCTCCAAGGCTGTAGGAGCTGCTGCTCTTTCTGCCTAAGCAGCTTCAACTGCAAAAGCATTTCACTGCCATCTGCCTCTCTCCAGGAGATTTCAACCAGAATCAAAGGGGAAGTCTCTTCACATGGGGCTGCTAAGGCTTTATGGCAAGTAGGGGTAGAGTCGTTGGGGATTAATTGTAGAAAATGAATCCACTTCTCATCCTACTCCCTCTCAAAGGATCACATGGCACCCAACAGATGGTGCTTCAGGGTAGTTGAAGAGAGTCTCTCTAAGGGAATGGAGAAGCGCTTTATGGAACAGTAAAGCCTTAAAGCAGAGTGCCCTGGCTGTTAATGCCTCAGTTTCCTCCAGTCTTGGTGGGAACAGGGTGAGACTGTGCTGGGATGGATGATTCTTCAAGACAAACATTACTAACCTGGTATGAAGCTTTGACAAGGGGCTCTGAGACAGGACTGAGATCTCCAACATGTGCAGAAGCTATGAGGCAAATACATCATAAAGACTTGGTGGGGACCGGCACTGTGGCTTAGCGGGTAAAGCTGCTGCCTGCGGTGGCAGCATCCCATATGGGCACCGTTTTGAGTCCCAGCTGCTCCACTTCCAATCCAGTTCTCTGCTGTGGCCTGGGAAAGCAGTAGAAGATGGCCCAAGTCCTTGGGCCCCTGCACCCGCGTGGGAGACCCAGAAGCTCCTGGCTCCTGGCTTCAGATTGGTGCAGCTCCAGCCATTGTGGCCAACTGTGGAGTGAACCAGCGGATGGAAGACCTCTCTCTCTCTCTGCCTTTCCTTCTCTCTCTCTGTAACTTTTTCAACTAAATAAATAAATCTTTTAAAAAAATGTTAAAAGACTGGAGTGAGGGATGGTGCTGTGGCATATTAGACTAAGCCTCCACCTGCGGTGCCGGCATCCCCCATCAGCACCGGTTCATGTTCCAGCTGCTCCTCTTCTGATCCAGCTCTCTGCTATGGCCTGGGAAAGCAGTACAAGATGGCCCCTGCACCCACTTGAGGGATCCAGAAGAAGCTCTTGGCTCCTGACTTCAGATCAGTGCAGCTCCAGCCATTGCGGCCATTTGGAGAGAGAACCAGCAGATGGAAAACCTTTCTGTCTCTCCCTCTTTCTGTCTGTAACTCTATCTCTCAAATAAATAAATAAATAAATCTTTTTAAAAAAAAATTCTAAAAGACTGGAGTGACCTTTGAAAGGTAAAATGTAAAGGGGGTGTTGAATTTTCACCTGAAATGTCTCATCAAAATGAAATAAATTTCATTCTTAAGATAATCATTCCTCATCCCTCAGTTTTGTTCTTAAGAATCAGTTACCTTTTAAAAAAAGCTATTTAGTGTGTTTTATAAAAATTATTTAGTGTGTTCTATAAATGCACTTGGAAAGGGGCCAAGTGTATTTTTTTTTAGATTTTTAGAGGTTTTGTTATTCCCAACCAGAATCTTATCAAATAGCCCTCCCTTTACCTATTTCCATAAATATTTTTGGATTATTTAATATGTTCTCATCTAAAATCATTCATGTATTTATAGTCTTGAGAAAGTTTATAGAAGACATTAACATGTAACAAAATCAGACACAATTCTTGATTGAAATGAGTTAACAGGCTAAAGTTCAGAATTATTGGATACAATGAGGGGAAAGCTCTTCGCTGAGAAATATTGATAGTAAAATATCTATAGTCTATGAAGAATAATTTTCTAAAGTAAAGCTGTGGATTTCCATTACAGTTTATTACACACAAAGATTAATTCCAGCAAATGGATATAAACATTTAATGTTTTCCTGGTTGGAGCGAGACTGAGAAAGGCACTTGATTTCCCTGGTTTTGGAAGATTGGCATGAGAACGTCATAGTGAAGGGACAAGCCTTTTTTAGGTTAATAAGAGATAAATCTTTTTGGTAAATGTTCTGGCACAGTATCTTGAGCAGAATTTATTGAAATATTGAGAAGCATTACTAAGTACTTCAACAGAAATCAGAAGAAGTTCAAGTCCAGACAGTAGCCCCTCCGGCTCATTTCCCACGTATGTTCTTACATGTCCATATTTAGAGCCATTACGGCTCTGTTAAAACCCTGCATGCAGGGAGTAAGTCAAACTGATAAAGTGTCATTTCTGGAAAAATAGTTGTCTTACACGGCAATCACAGAACCTAAAAAACAAAAAAGGCATTCGCACTGACTGATATTTTTAATTATGAAAAACAAAATCCAGTGTAATGGGACTGCGCATCAGAAAGCCTCGGGTTCGAATTCCCGTTCTAACAGTGGTGTAGCTGCAGGCACCTTGGTTCTCCGGGATGGACCTCTATTTCCTTATCTTTGAAAACTGAGGGGATTGGGTTTGACCCTAAGATGCTGACAGGAACCGGAAGCAGACCAGCCTGATGTCTTCTGTTTCCGTGCTGAAGGCTGTGATAAAATGGACCCTCCATGCCTCCCCACGGGCGACAATCCGGCTTCACTTCCAGGCAACTCACTCTGGCAGGGAAGGCAGGTCCTGTGTTGGCCACATTGTCAAATTTTTAAAAATATACAGAAATTCCGGTTTTTATGTCAAAGAGTCTGGTTTTCAATCGTTGTAAGCTAGCACAAAACAAGAACCGCGGTGAAGGCCAAGCTAAACCTACGCGCGGGCGGAGCGGGGTGACGGCCGCCACCTTGCGACCTCTGAGGAGGAAGCTGCGGCTCCGAGGGTGCGGGGAGGAGACGCCAGGGCCTAGGCTCCGCAGCACTACCTCCTCGCTCTAGTTAGTTTTCTTTTCGCTCGGCTTCATTAACATGTGAATGCAGTAGGGAATCAGAGCCACCACGGTCAGAGGGATGGATGCACTTTTACAAAAGGACAGCACATAAAACAGGTGCTCCGTGTGCGTGGGGATCTTGACGAAATGGTACAGCTGCAGCGTGGTCAGCGAGGTCATGGCGCAGAGCACCCGGAAGCTCAGCTTGTAGCCGTTTTCCCCTCGGCAGCTCAGAAGGAACATCTCAGAGTTGATTGCAAAGCCCAAGCCAAAGAGGACGCCGAGGTTTCTCACCAGCCCAGCAAAAGGCGTGGTGTCGATGTGGATCCAGTCGGGGTTGGCGCACCACTTTTTGGCGATGGGAACGGACCAGAGCAGGTCAATGTCGAGCAGTCTGAGAAGCAGGTAAAAGCCGAGCGCAAACAGGAAGAGGAAGAGGTTGGTCTTCAGGTAGGTGCTCAGGCTGGCCGTCTGGATGCCTGGAGTGTGTTCAAAGGCCTCTGCCACCAGCATGCCTGGAGGTTGCAAAGAGACACTGACCTGTGAGCCCTGGAGCCCCTGGTGAATGGATTCCCCTCTGTGTTACAGAACTTGGCCGTGGAGTTCAATGATAAAAGGCTTTATCACTGGTCTTGTTTGCCAAGTTCTACCAGCTAGCTACAGACATACCTTTGCCCCGTGGTATAATAGTAACCCAGTAGGATCAGTCGGCAGTCTTGGTGAAGGACAACCCACTCCATAGTCAGAGCACTGATCGGTGCTTGCAATTAGTATTTCAATCGCCATAGCCAATTAACTTACAGAGCCCTTGCCAAGTGTGTGGGGCTGAAAGTGGAAACTCGAGCATGGGGAACAGAGCTTTAGGATTACAAAGCAGTTTGGTTTTTAATGTAGTCCACAGCTGTGTGAGCATCACTTCAGAAGCTTCAGAAAGAGTGGCACGGCTGACGCTTGGAAGGTCCCTATTAAGTCTTCCCAGCCTGGACACATGCACACTGCCTCAAGCGATGATTTGAGAGCTGAAGTCAGTTCTAGAGTCACTTCAGAAAAACCCATCTCACTACACAGGCACTTATGCCATTAGTGACACTGTGCCATGTGTACCTGGAGGCTACGAGAGATGTGTTGAACCACTTAAGATCATAGGATAGAACATAGTATCAGCGGTTTGTCAGAATTACCCCTGAAATTGAAGAACTGATTACCACGGAGGATCTGACACCCTAATACAAATAAAGCTAAAACTTTAAATAACACAACGAAAGGTAAGTGATCATATTTACCACCAATTACTCCAAGAATAACTTGATGAGGAAAATGTGTTGCTATGAATACTCTGGAGATGCAGACACTGATTTGAATCAACCAAAAAAGACTCCAAAGAAATGACCAGGTCAGTCTACAATAAAAGAATAGATAAGTATAAAAAACCAAAGAAATTGTATTGCTTTTAAATTTAGAGGGGGGTTATATCATCTCAGAGGAGTTGTCTCACAGTGATGTAACATCATGATTCTAGAATCTTTTTCAAAGTGTTTCCGTGTGTGGATGGATTTAAAAGGCTTCAACAGGTTTCTCAATGCATTAAATGTAACTAATACTATGTTCTGAGATTTTAATAAATGCTAAGAAATATAGGGGCCAATATATGGGGTCGTAGTAGGTTAAGTTTCCACCTGGCATCTCATATGGGCTGTGGTTTAAGATCCAGCTCCATGCTATTGGCCTGGGAAAGCAATGGAAGATGGTACAAGTGCTTGGGCCCCTGCATTCATTATGTGGGAGACCCGAAAGAAGCTCCTTGCTCAGGACTTCAGATTGGCTCACCTCCAGCCATTACGGATATTTGGGGAGTGAACCAGAAGAACTCTCTGTCTCTCCTTCTATCTGTAACTCAGAATGATATTTTCATAGTAGAAAATCCCTGACAGTCAAGAAATAAGAATATTGCCTAATTGCCTTAATGAAGTAGAGGAATTCCTAATGGCAAGCATGATCAAGAATGAACCACATATGTTTGTATTCCCTGTCATGTGTTTTCTGATTTTCTCCCTCCTCTGTCAACCTTTCTTTACCTGAAGAAACTGCCACTCACATAAAAAGCCCAGAAACATTCCATGAAAGGCAAGTTCTCATTGAGTTTAATTTCCCAGACTCAAAGAGTCCTGATTCCTAGTTTTGGTTAAGATTTAGAAAAGAAACAAGGACTTGACCTATGGGTTATGTATTTTTTTTTTATTAAAACCAGCAATGTGCAAAAAAATTCCTAAAAAGTTCAGAGGGGAAAAAAAACTCTGAAAATTCAAGCAACACTTGTTGTTTGATGAAAATAAGCAGTAATGAGTTCAAGGCTTTATTCCTGATATTCAGACCAAAATTTGGTTATTTAAAGACTAAGGAATAGAAAAGAAACACTGAAATAGTAAGATGAATAAACAAGGATTTGATAATGTTAAGGTGAGGAACAGCCATAGAATTTTTTTTATTAAAAATTGATATAAGAACTTTTTAGAAGAAATGCATATTTCCCCAGATTTGGTAATTGGGAAAATTAGAAAAAAGTAAGGTTTTTCTAGATCCCTACTTGGAAAATTATCTAGGAAGAGAAATGCTAATTTCTTTAAATTATAACACGTTTCTATTTTTGTTGGTGTTTTAAAGTTGGATAATGAATACATTAAGACATACAGGTCTCATTAGAATAATCTTTAAAATCGTTCACTTTCTTTGCTTATTTATTTCTTAAAGTGTCCAGTGCTACTCTAAAAAGTGGAATATGTCATGGATCTTGGACTTTTTTTTTTTTTTTTGGAGAAATTTTATATCATGGTATATGCTATACCATCTATTTTTTGAAAGTTTAACTGACAAATCTTATATCAGATACCCTAAGAATTTGTGACTGAAGTTGTGCTAAGGATAGTTTTAATGATGGTTATAAGATTTCAGGAAAGAAACAGCCCAATTCTGACAAAGTTTGAAAGGTATTTTGTAATTTAACTTTATTAAAGTTCTGGGCCTTCTTAAACATTAAGAAATCTGCTAACATCAACTCTACTAACATTCAGGTTTAAGTTTCTTCTTGAATGTTTTTAATGAAAAAGTTTTCAGAGTCTTTAAAGCTAGAAGGTGTTACTGATGTCAAAGAATTGGCAAAGAAGGAAGCATAAGTTTATTAAATAAAGTGATGCAGTCAAAATAAATGTTGATTCCCAGAACTGAAGTTAATCTTAAAACAAGGAACTGTGTGCATGAAAATATTTCCTTTTATGATTTTAGATGACTTATTTGTGATCTACTAAGATAATTATTATATTTTGGAAATCTAGAGGCACATTTAGCAAATCATTAACGAGTTAAACATTTTCAAGCCTTTAAAATGGGAGTAGCTGTGAACTAATTAGGGAACTATCAAAAAGCAAAATGTTAATTTTCTATTAATTTTGCTGTTTTAGCCTTGGTAGATAGAATAAGCACATTTCATTGAGTGACTTAAAATACACTCAGTGAAGCTGGAGTCAGACTGACCTGTGCAGAGTGACAGAGAACTTATCCATCCGACTGACAGTGTGGCTCAGGGCAGCTGTTACCATGACGTACCAGACACACGATGACCCCATTGCATGGCCAGATGGACTTCCTGCAACAGCAAAGTGTCCATCCATTTCAAAGGTGGCTAGTTAGGTATCAAGATCAGAAGCTGGACACTGGAATAGCAAACTCATGAAAATTACACATAATTCAGATTTTTTAAAATAGGGCAAATGATGGTTAGAAATAGTTAGAACTAAGGAAAATTGAATCTAATTGATCCTCAAAAGCACCATTTCCAGTCCCCCCCCCCAGATTTTTCAATCTCATTGAATTCCAGAAACCAATATATTCAAGGCTAATTAAAATGTTGGGCTATTACACCAAAATCTGCCAAAACCCTATTCATGCTTTTTATCTAATTGTTTTTAACTGAAAAGAAAAGAAAAATCCTTCTGGTGGATTATGATTCAGTGTATTTTCCCTGGGCTGAAAAGTTTGCTAAATGCTATGTTTGCTATGCCTGTTGTTTTACTAATTGACTTTCAAATGAGGAGCTACCTCTGTGCCAGTCTCCTGGCTGCTGCAGTGAGAATCTTTGTTATGAAATGAAGCAGGAGGAGAAGCTGTGAAGGGGCATTAATCCTGGCAGAAAAAACCTACTAACAGATAGCATTTCTGCCTCTGCTTCAATGTTCTCCTGATTTTTCACCTAGTGGACATTCATTCAGGTTAAATACCAGTCTGTCGTGGGGGTAGGGATATTCCTCCTTTATTTAACAAAGACAAACCCACTTCTAATCTGCAAGAATTTTCCGTCTTTTCTAAGCTTCAGTGAATTATATATCTCTAACGGGTGAATATGGAATACAGTATTCCCCTCCCTCTCTTCCGGAAGTCCTGCGATAGACTGAAATAGCATTTCAGTTGTCTCGAAGGTTATTGTTCATGTATTCATCACACATTAGTTTCACAAAGAGGAAATACATCATCTTTGCCCTGATGGAACTCAGTCTAAGCTGTCAGGTGTAAAGAGAATTAATTATAGTGTAGTATGATTAGTGATATAAAAGACATGTATACTTTTATGGGAATGAAAGACATTCAGAAAATTCTTTAAGAACTTTCACATTCACTGTATTCCAGGGTTAGTTTCAAAGGATTCAAGTAATAAGAATTTTATATTATGTAACAAACTTATTAAAATAGCATGCCATTTTCTTTATATTTTTAAAAACCTTCTTGCAGTCTTAAGCTCAACTTCCATGATAAAGATTTTGCATTCATTTAGAATTTTACTTCTAGTAAAAAGGAGATGGTCCACGAAGCCCACTTATATACTAAGCATATAAAAGAAAAACGTTTGAAGAAATTATACTCAGGTTAGAGATGATATTTACTGGCACTAGTAAGATGGAGAACTTCCTACCTTTCTTTTTTTTATTTTTATTTTTATTTTTGACAGGCAGAGTGGACAGTGAGAAAGAGAGACAGAGAGAAAGGTCTTCCTTTTGCCGTTGGTTCACCCTCCAATGGCCGCCGCAGCTGGCGCACTGCGGCTGGCACACTGCGCTGATCCGATGGCAGGAGCCAGGTGCCTCTCCTGGTCTCCCATGGGGTGCAGGGCCCAAGCACTTGGGCCATCCTCCACTGCACTCCCTGGCCACAGCAGAGAGCTGGCCTGGAAGAGGGGCAACCGGGACAGAATCCGGCGCCCCGACTGGGACTAGAACCCGGTGTGCCGGCGCTGCAAGGCGGAGGATTAGCCTAGTGAGCCGCGGCCCTACCTTTCTTATACAAAATTTGTCTATTCTTTCCTTGCTCATGAAATTCTCAAAAGACCAAAGTGACTTTGAAAGTTTCTCAGCAGCAGATAAATCAACAATTCTGAAATCTTAATATAGTTCCTTGGGAATTTGCTCTAGCTAGCTGTTGTTTGTTTAGTATCAAACAATGACATTATTCCAAAATGTAAATCATCAAACATAAAATCATTTGGGGGAGTATTCTCCCAACCTTCCCTTTCACAAATAACACTGGAATTTGATTATTCATAAGACTCATTCTCATTAGCAATTTTGATGCCTGTGAACTTTCAGCATGCCCACCTAACCCATTTTGATACTTATATATAATAGCATATTGTTTATCATATAATACTCACAAATAATGACTCTCTGTTGACATGTCTTCCGTAAGTTGAAGCTACTGTAACTGCTTACCTGGACCTGTTTCACAGGTAGTGGGGAACTGTTCAAGGCATGGACTTGAGTGATTTGGGTAAATCTGAGTTTCTTGGACCCACCAGTAAGGCCGATGACCAAATAATATCCTGTATTTGAAGAAATGTAAATATGTACATATTTTTAAATACAGAACTATTATGTAATTGAAGAGTAGCTATTTTTTCCTATAAAAATGACTCAAGGACAGGGCCCATGGGGAGAGCTCATGGTTATTGTGCTGCACCCCCAGAATGTACAAGTGTTGCCTGTTAATCAAAATAACCAAATGAACATGATTTTAAGTAATAACAATATAAAAAGTAAAGTGATTTAAAATATAAAATGAGACTTTGAGAGATCTTGGATTCTAGGCTTTCATTCATTACAGAAGATGGTAATTATTTGGATGTTAGCATCTTATTTTCCCATAAACACAGGGACTTTTTCCTTGTGGGAAGTCCTGTGGGTGCTTTGGGTACTTAAACCAGGAAGATCAAAATTGTTCCTGAAATCACCAATCTGTTTACTATGGTGCCCCTCACTTAACTAACTTCTCGGTTAATCACAGAATATGTGTTACAGGGTTTTGGAATTTATAAATCAGTTAAAGTATACATTTCTATGCTTTTTATAAGCTCTATTTATGAATCTGGTGTTTCAAGTTAACTGGTACGTTTGAAAGACTTTCCAAGTCAAACTACACGTACCTGAAATTTGATCATAAACCAAAGCTACAAATTAAAGAATAAGTTTTAGGAAAAGTGAAACAAAACAAGTCTTACCATTTAAATATAAGATTGAACCAATCCCCAATGACTGCTACCCATATCATCTTGGTTCCAACTGTCTGATTAAGTTGAAACCAAAGTGGAAAATAAATAGAAAAGATATTCCGGGGGTCTCCAACATTGGACATAAAATTTAGAAAATCGTAGTAAGCCCGATAGTCCTTCTGCAAATGCTGAATAACGAGCACTCCATTCCTGTGAAGGAAATCCATCTTGAAAAAGAGACAGAACAATTAGAGTTGAGGAGTTGAGGTGCTGTGAGTCGCACCGTTTTTATATGGTACCCTTGTGGTGTGCCAAGCCATTATTGTAACATGTGATGCTGACCATCTGTGGAGAGGGCATGTCGGCCCTCTGCTGGAAAGCTCATTTGTTTATGATTTTAATTGGTGGTAAAGAGGTGAAGTACATGTTGATCTGTGTCAATTTGAGGGGAAACTTGGACAGAAGCACAATGAATTTCTTATGCAACCTCCCTTTTACGTGAACAGTTGGACTGTGTTTGCTTGAAATTTTTTGCACAGTTCATTTCGTTCAAGGGCAGACATTAACAATTTCTATGCTTGGCTAGAAGACTACAAAAGTAATTATTGCATGTCAAATAGCCCTTTAAGCCATGCATTTTAATTTAAGATAGACTGTGACTCACTGACTATTTTATTGGGTCTTTGAGGAAAATGGTTGAGTAAATACTTGGACATAAAAATTCATATGACAGATTATTTGCTGATCACAAACTTTAAATTAAAATAGTTTGATACTCCCTTGTTATTAAGAGTGATAGGATACATTTAGAACAGGGAAAGAAATATATGGAATATATGAGGTTTGGAAGGAAACGGGTTGCTTTTTGACTATGAGGCAACAAAGTAGAAAAAGAAGTTACTTGGGTCATAGAAATGTGTGAGGACCGAGTTGTGTTTTTATAGACTAGAGAGTAGGGGTAACTAGGATTGGGTTGCTCCTCATGTGAAAAAGATAGGAATAAATTTCAGCCTTAAGGAAAATGGTTTGTTGAAAACAGAATATTTCGGGGGGAAATAAGTGGGAGGCATCAAACGAAACAGGAGATTGGGAGTAAACAGAAGGACAATACAAAGAGACCCAGGGCTCCAAGTCAGAGATGCTGGTTCTCATGAGCCAGGAGGATTGGTGTGAAGGAAATTGAGCCCCACCAGGACCAGGTGGGCAAAGGCGGAGCTAGGCAGCCTTCCTTTACTGTTGAGGCTGTTTTCTCTGGTAATCACAGCATCTGTCACTAGGAAGCTTTCCCACAGGCTATGAGTATCATAGAGTCGTGTCTCATCATTTAACCGCATCGTCATTTAGGGAGCTCTGCCATTTCTTGGTACCTGTCTGGCCTTTGTTGCCTCCCTTGGAAACAGTGCACCCACTGACCAAAATCTTGGGTGTTGAGGCAGGCATTTGACCTACTGGGATGCCTGCATCCCATTTTGGAGTGCCTAGGTTCAAATCCTAGCTCTGCACTGAGCTCCAGCTTTCTGCTAATGCAGACACTGGGAGACAGCAAATGATGACTCAAGTAGTTGGGTTCCTGCCACCCACCTGGGAAACATGGATTGAGTTCCTAGCTCCCAACTTCTCCAGCTGTTGTGAGCATTTAGGGAGTGAACCAACAGCTGAGTGCACTTTCTCTCTCTCTCCCTCTCATTGTGTGTGTGTGTGTGTGTGTGTGTGTGTGCATATGTCTCCGCCATTAAACTTAACTACATATCTTTTGAAGTATTTTTTAAAATGCCATACCTTAGTCCCACCCTAGGTCAGTTAATTTTCTGGTGATGGGATTTAGGCATAGTATTATAAAATGTACTTTCCAAGGTATTCCACTGTAGAATGGAGGTTTAGAATCATTGTGCTGAAGCAAATTCAAATGAGGCAGTAGCCTGGACTGATGATCAGTGTCTATGCTTCTGGCTTTTTTGTTTTGCAAATTCAGGTTCTGTCATTTCCATAATATCTTTAATGAACCATGCGGAAGGACCTAACTTCTCTTTTTTTTTTTTTCTAAATGTTTGAGCTACATGGTTCATAATATGCATTTTGTGCAAAATGTTTTGTCCTTAAATCAGGGTGTGAATAACATCAAATACATTTGCTTTCCAATTAAAAATTAAGCTTCATGCTAGTTCAGCCCTTCAGAGTCTGTGGACTGTGATGAAGGTGACAGCCCACTAGCTTTTCCTTACAGGTGGTTGATTTAGAAAGGCTGTTTCCTGGGGCCTATGTGGTTCTAGAGACTGTGAGACAATTGAAGCAAAAGAGCCCTAGGATTTGTTTTGCACATTCTCAGATTGGCCAAATCTGCTTATTCCTCCTGGATCGTCACTGTTAGTCTTTCCTGTCTTCATTTCTATGCACCCCCGCAGCAGTCCTCCTCTGGGCAGCATCCTTGCCACTCCTCTGACAGTGCTTTCTCCCAAATATTCTTTTTTCTTAGGTTTTTGTATAAGTCTCCCAGGGCTGCTGTAAGTACCAGACTGGGTGGCTGGTACAAATGTTTATTTTTCTTGCAGTTATGGAGGCTGCAAGTCTTAAAACCCTCAAAACCGTCCCTTTGTTTTGAGTTAGTTCTAGTGAATGAATTCTTCCAGTTCTTTTTGGGTTCTCATTCTGGTACACTTAAACTTCCCCCTAGATTTTCATTTATAGTAAAATCCCATGTGTTTTACCTAGATTAAAAGCTGTAGCACACGGGCCGGCGCCGCGGCTCACTAGGCTAATCCTCCGCCTAGCGGCGCCGGCACACCGGGTTCTAGTCCCGGTTGGGGCGCCGGATTCTGTCCCGGTTGCCCCTCTTCCAGGCCAGCCCTCTGTTGTGGCCAGGGAGTGCAGTGGAGGATGGCCCAGGTGCTTGGGCCCTGCACCCCATGGGAGACCAGGAAAAGCACCTGGCTCCTGGCTCCTGCCATTGGATCAGCGCGGTGCGCCGGCTGCAGCGCGCCGGCCGCGGCAGCCATTGGAGGGTGAACCAACGGCAAAAGGAAGACCTTTCTCTCTGTCTCTCTCTATCCACTCTGCCTGTCAAAAAAAAAAAAAAAAAAAAAAAAAAAGCTGTAGCACAGAGGCCAGAATATATGCAATACATTTTGCCACACAAAATATTATATAACCACAAAATAAATTGTTCTGGGGGGAGGAGAATGATTTTATCTTTCTGCACAGAAAACTCAACAATGTAAATATAACCCAGTTTAGTGGTTAAATTTAGCCTTTGCTTTTTCTGGCTCTGCAGTGGAAGCCACCGATTTTGGGCCTAGGATATTGCCTGCCCAGTGATGGTGGGTCTCATTGTATCTCTCACTGTAGTTGGTCCTAATGACTTCCACTGGCTTAGCCAGATTGCCTGTGTTTTCTGATTCACTTGCGTGAAGATGAAAGTAGTATACCTGTCTTCCTGCGGACTAGTCGCCCTAACCTGGCTTTCCTCTTGATGATGCAGCAGGGTACCCGTATCTTAAGCCCCAGAGCTGGCAGGAAGATGAAGGGATCCATATCATGTGTAATCACTATTGTCAAAATTTGTTATTCCCTGCCAAGTTGGTGGTGGTATTGACCCACACTTTTCAGTGGGGACATCACCTCTCTTAACTTACTCCCTTTTTAAAGACCCTGTTTCCAAGTACAGCCACCCATAAATGGAGACAAGTTTAGGCCAAACCTAACTTGATTTAACAGGCATCCTCTTAGCCGGGTCTCTTCAGTCCCTAGTAGTTCCTATCCTGAGCTGATTGATTTAGCATCAGTGAACTTGAAATTGCATACAAGGTATACATACTGGTGTGCATTTCTTGGAAGACCATTTCTTGTCAACTTGCTTCACAGCCTGTGTCAGCGATCTCTGCCTCTTGCCTTGTCTGCTCCATACTTGTGGGCCAGTTCAAACAGCTGAGCGTCTGTGTGGCCATCAAAGGGCTGGGTGAACCGGTTAATCACAGGAAGCAATTTCTATGGCTTATAGAGGATAGCCCTTTGCTGCTGCAGCCAACTGTGTGCATGCATGGGCGGGTAAGGGAGAACCTTTGACAAAATGAGTGAGATCCATTTGGGGATGAAAGTCCTGTCCAATGCCAACATGCTTAGGACTCTTACTAAACGTGAGACTTACCTCCTTGTTGGTCTCCTGCTTCTTCCCCTTGGCTTTCTTTCCTTTCAGCATCTTTTTGGGCAGCTGGAGGAGAAACCATGCAATACATTCTTATCATAAGATGAGCCATTCATCACTGAGTTATAGTGTTCACTATAATTCAGCATCATTCCAAGATATTTGACATTAGCTTGTGTCACTGATGCAGTGGAAACAAACAGAAATGTGTTTTGGAGCCACTGACCTTTAATGTCTCTGCATAGCTATTATCCTTTACCACAAACTTATCTGCCTTCTATAACATAAATTGCATTTGAGATCTCTTCAGTGTCACCTTGCAATGTAAAATGGATTTATTTCAGACCAAGTTTAGACTTTAATGACTTTCAGAAAATAATTACCTCTATTCTGGCTAGCATCCCAGGCATATTGGCATTCCATAATGACATTGTTATAAATGATCCCACAAGAGCTACTCCAGGCACTCCCTCCACTAGTCCCATTATGTGCTTTTCTCTAGAAATGATCAAGACTCATACATTCATAAAGTCTTAATTTTTTTTAATCATGCTGTGGTTTGAATAGGATTTGTTTCCCAAATTCATGCAGATTTTCTCCCTAGAGTCATAGACTGGTGGTGCTAGGATGGTGTTTGAGAGGTTGGCGCAGTTGGAGGTCTTTTGGTCTCTGGTGGGAGTGTACACTTGGGAGTGGTTCTTCTGAGAGGATGGGTTAGAAATCCAAGTTGGGCCCAGCTGCTTTCTTTGTTTCCAGGCTCGCCATGTGATCCTTCCTCTACATGTCATTGCTACCCTCCAGCCTTCCCAGGCAGCCAAACTGAATCTCCAGAGCCATGAGCTAAAATGAACCTCCTTTTTGTATAAGTAGCCTGTGCTAGGTATTCAGTTATACAGGTCAAAAGCTGACGAAAATCACCAAAAGACTCAACATAGTTGCACACTAAATAGTGCTAGAGTGATTAGTATGTGTAAGACAATGTAAACTTTAGCATACATCCAACTCATCTGGGGGGCTTGTTAAAACACAGATTATGGGGACCTATTTCCAGAATCTTTGATTTCAGTAAGAATGGAGTGGGACCTGATTTTTCCCTCCCTCCTTCCCTCCCTTCCTCATCGCCCCCACCTTTTCCTTTTAAGATTTATTTATTTTGAAAGAGTTACAGAGACAGAAAGGGGGGAAGAGAGAGATAGAGAGATTTCTTCCATCTGCTGGTTCACTCCCTAGATGGCTGCAATGGCAAGGACTGGGCAAGGCCAAAGCCAGGAGCTTCATTCAAATCTCCCATGTGGGTAGCAGGAGCCCAAACACTGGGGCCATCCTCTGCTGCTTTCCCAGGACATTAGCAGCGAGCTGGAGCAGAACTGGAGCAGCCAGAATGCAAACTGGCTCCTATATGGAATGCCGCATCATAGGTGGTGGCTTTACTTATTGGTCCACAATGCTGACTCTGAGTCCATTTCTGACAGCATCCC